CCCCAAAGCCCCAAAACCCCAAAACCCCAAAACCCCATATAACTGCTGGCCAATGAGAGTCTCATAATTAATTAAAATCAATAACTCCAAAGTTATGAGCAAGAAACATCTTGATGCTGACGATACCAAGGATGCTACCTGGCTAGCTAGAGAGATTGGAAAGTTCAACGGAAATCTTGATAGAGGAATGGCCTTCCTCCTAGGTGCCAATTTTCAGAAGTTTGGAAAGAAGTATGGTAGAGATGCATACACCCAATTAGCCACAATTTTAGAAAGAGCTCTAAGCGACATGGCAATAGGTAAAAATCAAATGAATCAGGTCTACAAAGAACTATACGAGCAAGAGTGTCTCAGCGATTGCTTGGAGTTACCTTACTTCAAGGAATACAAAAAGGGTTTTATCAAAACATATGAAACTCCTAAGCCTCATACAATGTCTGACGATGATGAAAACTCAACAGAAGTCCTCAAATCCCAAATTCAAACTCCTTCGGAGACTCTTGCTTGACCTACTACTTCAGAAAAATTCCTTAAAAATGCTGCTATGAGCTCGAGTTTTAATGATAGAAGCAAAGAAACTAAGAAGTTCACTACCTCCCAAGAAAATCTAGAACCATATGAAGTAAGTTAGGGATCTTTGCTACAAACCCCAAAAGTTTTAGCTAATTTAGTACTTTTTCAGAGTACATTGATTTTGTAATTTTGCTTTGAACAAAATCTCATTGACATTTATAGCATCTCAATGAAGAAGAACCTGAAAATAGTGAACAAGTACTCAGGGCTTTTAATATTCAAGGGGAAGAGCATATTCCATACTCTGCTGAAAATTCTCAGCATATAAGAGCTCATGAAATCTCAGATGGCAACTCCATTGACTCAGAAGCAGATGAATATCCTCAATATGAGTGCCAAGTGGATCAGAACCCAGATGGAGAACAAATAACCTATAAGAGAATGAAGACTGGAGAGGAACACGAAGCCCATATTGAACTTCAGGACCAAAAAGTAGAACTTGAACAAAGACTTTCGAACCATAACCCTCTTGCTGAAGATTCAAATGATCAACATGACGATCCAATGGAGTCTCACCACCAACCTCCTAACGAAGGGAATAAAAACCAAGAAACATTTGACGTAGAAGAATTTACTAAAAAGAGAGAAATGAAGGAACAACTCAGGTTTGCAGAACAAGACCAGTTAAATAAGGACGGACTTGATGTATACAGAAGAAGTAACTCTGAAGAACATGTCCCTCTCAAAAAGATAGCTACACAGCCTTCCAATCTCCCTAAAGGGATTAATGATATAAGACATATCCCAGATGTTAATGCTCAGGCCCAGCTACTCGACGAGCATAACCAAGAGTTCTCAGATCCTGATGAAGCTGAGATTATTGAAAAAACATTCAGAGAACAAGAATTTGCAAAGAAGCAACAAGATGCATTCGAGGAAATGCAAAGAAAATTAGAGCAAGAGCGCAAAGACAAAGAAGTAGCAGATCAGCTACAGAATGAGGAAAGAATTAAAGTTCAGCAGCAAATAGCTAGTTCAATCTGAGAACTATGCAATCGTGCATTTGGTGATTCTGAAGTTGTGCAGCTTTCTTGAGAAGACATCTTTCACCCTTCTTGATTTCAAAATTATGTTGAATATAAAGTAAAGGTGAAAAACTACCCAATCACTTGTCCAGGCGACAAATGAAGAGAAAAGGTAACATACTCAGAACTCAAAGCACTATTAAACACAGGGTTGTACAATGAAATTGAAAAAGATAGGATGCGAGAATACTTACCAGAGTCGGAATATAATTATGAGGATCCAACTACTACCCAACAATCCAACAACAGAAACAAAAGAGACTCTAAATATAAAGGAAAACATAATCAATTGAAGAAAAAGAAAGATAAAGAAAGGAAAAAGTTTCTCGGACTTTTCTAAATCAAGACAAACCCCTCAAAGAACATTCTTTGGAGTTCTTGCTCAATAAGATACAATGAAACCAAGTCTGTATCTAGCAAATATTCCAGAAGGTGTTCAAATGAGGCATAAGAGTAAGCATTACTATTGGATATAAGTTGCATAACGGGATTCTCGGCTTGTGTGAGGTGACTTCGAAAATATTGCTCTAAACAAGCTCCTAAATCAAACGAGCCTCATTTAAAACACATTATCGACCAAAATCTCCAAAATTTGCAATTTAATCTTCATACCTCAAATTAGTAATATTTGCTCTAAAATAGCCTCTCAAATATCTCAATTGAATTTTTTCATCCCGGGGTTTTGGGGTTTTGGGGTTTTGGGGTTTTGGGG